AATACAGTAGTATGTATTTCAATAGGTAAATATCTAAGTTTGACTTCTAGACTTAATAACATAGTCAGATGCTTACACTAATATATAGAATAAATGTAAATGAGACAGCTATAAATGTAGTATGATATAGCTGTGTTATACTGGAAACTTTAAAACCGTATGCGGCATTACTAGTGATTATGTGATTTTCCTAAATGTTGAATACCTTATGGTGTATTTCTAACAAAATATTCCTGGAGGCTGGTCATGGTGGCTCGTGTCTGTAATCCCAGCACTTTAGGAGGCCAAGGAAGGAGGATCTCCTGAAGCCAAAGTTCAAGACCAGCCTGGGCAACATAGGGAGAACCCCATCTCTAAAAAAAACAAAAAACATCTGGGCATGGTAGTTACTACTCCCATGTTACATGGTAGGACTACCCCCTGTAGTCCTAGCTACTCAGGAGGCTGAGGTTGAGGTCGGAGGACTGCTTGAACCTAGGAGTTTGAGGATGCAGTGAGTTATGATCATGCCACTGCACTCCAGCCCGAGCAATAGAGCAAGGCCTTGTTTCTTTAAAAAAAATTTCTGAAAAATTTAAATCTATTAAACATGTGAAGAAACTACTTGGTATTTATTTGCAAAATGAATTAAGTTCTAATTTCAGATCATTAAAAACACCTTTTTCAGCTAGGTATATGTCTTTGGTGGACATTGAAAAGCATGCAAGATATAGGGCAATTCTTACTGCATGGGACAGTCTTATGCATTTTAAGAAATATTGTATTGGCCGGGCGCAGTGGCTCGTGCCTGTAATCCTAGCACTTTGGGAGGCTGAGGTGGGCAGATCCCCCGAGGTCGGGAGTTCAGGACCAGCGTGACCAACATGCAGAAACCCTATCTCTACTAAAAGTACAAAATTAGCCAGACGTGGTGGTGCATGCCTGTAATCTCAGCTACTCAAGAGTCTGAGGCAGGATAATTGCTTGAACCTGGGAGGCAGAGGTTGTGGTGAGCCAAGATTGCGCCATTGCACTTCATCTTGGGCAACAAGAGCGAAACTCTGTCTCAAAAAAAGAAAAAAAAAGATATAAAAAAAGAAATATTGTATTCCCAGTACCAATCCACTAAATATTAGTTGCTTCCAGTTGTAACACTACAAAAACTTTCTCACAAATGTTTAAAATGCTAACTAATAATAATACCACCCCTACTGAGAAACCCTGCTAACAATGTCTGGCACTTGGTATGTATTTAATACATGCTTATTGATTAGATGGACAAATGATTATGTAAATATTAAATCTCCAAAAATAACTTTAATATCTGACTGTAAGTATCAGAAAACCCAACCAACAGTAGTTTAGACAAATTAGAGTATATAACTTTTCACTAAGAAGTTTGAAGTTAGGCAACCCAGGATTGGTCCTACACCTCATGATGTCGTCATTGTTCATGGTTTCTGTTTTCTTTCTATTTAGCCATTCTTAGCAAATGTGTTATTTCCTAATGAATTAAAGATGGGTGCTTCATCTCTGGTTCTCACATCTATATTCAAAGCAGAAAAGTGGAAAGAAGAGGAAAGGATCATTGCCAGCAGACTTCCTCTTCTCTTATTGGCCAGAGCTATGTCACATGATCAGTGCTAGCTGCAAGGGAAGCTATCATCCTCTCCCTCAAAGTAATACTGCTGCCATATAAAATATAAACAAACAAACTTTCAAACACATTACTGAACTGCCAAGAAAGTAAAGCCTCCCAGAAGTTAAAAATAAAGTGAACATGGAACCTCCTAAGAGGTGAGAAATGTGCTAAGGCCCTTGTCTTAAGAACATATGCTAAACTCTGGTGATCTTGACATTGCATTTGTAATGGTTTCACAGGAAGTGGAGTGGAGAACAGAAGACAAAGCTTGCAGCCTGCCCAGTGTTTGGAGTCTAATAGTAGACCTTGACTCAAAGTTGGAAAATGAAATGGCAAGCCACAGACTACAGAAAATATTCATGAAGATGTGTGTTCAGAATATATAAAAACTTCTACAAACAGGTATCAAAACGAAAACCCAGTTTTAAACAGGAACAAAAGTCTTGGCAAGACACTTTAAAAAAGAAGATACGCTAACAGCCAATAAGTCCATGAAAAGACCCTCAACATCATTAATCATCAGGCAAATGCAAATTAAAACACAATGAGATACTATGACACATCCATTAGAAGGGTTAAAATTTAAAAGACTAATCAAACCAAATATTGGAGAAGATATAGGGCAACTAGGACTTTCATACATACATTTCATATATTGCTGATAGAAATATAAAATATGCAATCATTTTGGAAACTGCTTGGCAATTTCTTAAGATGTTAAACATATACCTACTATATATACAGGATAAATGAAAATATATGTCTACATAAAAGCTTGTACATGAATGATCATAGCACCATTAATAATAATAGTCAAGAAGTAGAAACAACACAAATGTCCAGCAACTGATAAAAACATACACAAAATGTAGTGTATCCATACAATGGAATATTGTTTAGCTGTAAAAAGGAATAAAGTACTGATACATGCTACAATATGGATGGACCTTGAAAACATTATTATACATGAAAGAAGCCAGACACACAAAAAAGTACATATTATATGATATGATTTACATAGCATGTATCCAGAATGAGTAAACTCATACAAACAGAAAGATGGTTAGTGGTTGCTGGGGGCTGGAAGGGAAAGAAGTGGGGAGTGACTTCTAATGAGTAGAAGGTTTCTTTATAGAGTGATAAAAATATTCTGGAATTAGATAGTGGTTATGCTTGCATAATTGTGCTAAAAACCATTGGATTGTATACTTTAAATATGAGTGGACTGTATGGCATCTGAGTTACATCTCAATAAAGTTGTTGTTAAAAAAAAAAACAAATATAAACTATATACATCATCAACACTGCCACCATCCCAATCACCACTGACAACATCTTGGTATACAGCCTTCCAAACTCATTTCCGTGCATCATATATGCGTGTTAAAGAATGAAAATTGGATTATACCATGCATATCCTTTAAGAAGTGTTGTTGTTTTTTAGATACAAGATTTCACTCTATTACCTAGGCTGGATGTAGTGGTGCAGTCATAGCTCACTGCAGCCTCAAACTCCTGAGCTCAATTGATCCTCTCAATCCTCCTGCCTCAGCCTCTTAAGTAGGTAGGACTACAGGTACATGCCACAACACTCAGCTAATATTGTAATTTTTTGTAAAGACAGAGTCTTACTATGTTGCCCACACTGGTCTCAAACTCTGGCCTCAAGCAAGCCTCCCACTTCAGTCTCCCAAAGTGCTGGGATGACAGGCAGGTGCCACCACATCCAGACTTTATAGAATATATTTTAAATTATAACACACATGGCTTTATAATTATAAAGTAATATCAGACTGGAAAACCATTGTCTTTTTTTCTGATTTTAAGAGTAAAATTGTCAGTCTTTGATCTTTAAATATGATATTAGTTCTGGGGTTTTCATAGATTCTCTTTATCAGGTTAAGTTCCCTTTTACTCCTCATTTGCCAAGTGTGTGTGTGTGTTTTTAAAACATAACATGTTGCATTTTGTCAAATGCACTTTTTGCATTAATTGAGATGATCATATGGGTTTTTCTGGTTATTAATATGGTATATCCTAATGATTGATTTCCTTATGTTGAGCCAACCTTGCATTCCTGTGATAAATCTCATTTGGTTATGGTGTAAAATCCTTGTTTAAGTGTAAATTGGCAAAATTTATTTATTTATTTATTTATTTATTTATTTATTTATTTATGACAGGATCTTGCTCTGTCACCCAGGCTGGAGTGCAGTAGTGCAATCTTGGCCCACTGCAACCTCCACCTCTTAGGCTCAAGCAATTCTCATGTCTCAGCCTTCCAAGGAGCTGAGACTATAGGCACATGCCACCACACTTGGCTAATTTTTGTATTTTTTGGTAGAGGTGGGGTTTCACTGTGTTAGCCAGGCTGGGTGAATTTTATTTAGACCTAAATAATCTACATATGAATGGACCTCACTGTCTCAATTATGGAGTTTCATTATAACACCATTGTACTAGTCCGTTCTCACACTGCTAATAAAGGCATACTTGAGACTGGGCAATTTATAAAGGAAAGAGGTTTAATTGACTCACAGTTCTCCAGTGCTTGGGAGGCCTAAGGAAACTTACAATCATGATGGAAAGGGAAACAAACATGTCTTTCTTCACATGGCAGCAGCAAGGATAAGTGCAGAGCAAAGGTGGGAAAAGCCCCATATAAAACCATCAGATCCATGAGAACTCACTCACTATCATGAGAATAGCATGGAGGCAACCACCCCATGATTCAATTACCTCCAACTGGGTCCCTCCCATGACACATGGGGATTATGGTAACTACAATTCAAAATGAGATTTGGGTGGGTACACAGCCAAACCACAGAATTATGCCCTGGTCCCTTCCAAATCCCATGTTCTCACATTTCAAAACACAGTCATGCCTTCCCAACAGTCCTCCAAAGTCTTAATTCATTCCAGCATTAACTCAAAAGTCCAAGTTCAAAGTTTTATCTGAGACAAGGCAAGTCCCTTCTGCCTATGAGCCTGTAAAATCAAAAGCAAGTTAGTTACTTTCTAGTTACACTGGGGGGTACAGGCATTGGGCAAATACACTCATTCCAATGGTAGAAAAATTGGCCAAAACACAAGAGTTAAAGGCCCCACCCAAGTCCAAAACCCAATAGGGCAATCATTAAACCTTAAAGTTACAAAATGATCTCCTTTGACTTCATGTCTCACATCCAGGTCATGCTGATACAAGAGGTGGGCTCCTATGGCCTTGAGCAGCCCCACCTTTGTGGCTTTGCAGGGTACAGTCTCCCTCCTAGCTGCTTTCATGGGCTAGCATTGGATGTCCGTGGCTTTTCCAGGTACATGGGGTAAGCTGTTGGTGGATCTACCATTCTGGGGTCTGGAGGACAGTGGCCCTCTTCTCTTTTTTTTTTTCCAGATTTATAATTTAATGGCTGTGTAGATCCCAGTCTCTCATTTCTGTCGCTCACGTGCCCACTGCTCTGGGGTCAGGGTTTTCTGTTCAAAGGCATGGATGTGCGGGAGCTCTTCTGCTAGGCACGCGTTTACCAGCCTGTGTCTCTGAAGCAGCGGTTTCCCCTCGAACTTGGCCGACACCACCAGGACTCGGAAGCTACAGGCGCAACGGTTGAGGGTCGTGTCCTCCACCTCCACATGCTCCGCCTCCAGGTCCCACTGCAGCTTCTCCCGGAGGTATTTGGCGCTGAGTTCCATGGCGGTAGTCCAGCTGGGACAGCAGCCCAGCGGGGACACAACCCCTGCTCCGACGCCGGCCACGCTGCCTTGCAGCCTTACAGGAGCCACTTCCAGTGGCCCTCTTCTCACAGCTCTACTAGGCAGTGCCTCAGTGGGAGCTCTGTGTTGTGGCTCTGAGCCCACATTTCCCTTCCACACTGTCCTAGCAGAGATTCTCCATTAGGGTTCCACCCCTGCAGCAAACTTCTGCCAGGACATCCAGATATTTCTAATTGTGCTTATTTGGATTTTCTCTCTTCTTTTCTTGGTTAATCTTTCTAATGGTCTATCAAGTTTATTTATCTTTTCAAAGAAGTAGTTTTTTGCTTTGTTTATCTTTTGTATTTTTTTGTTTGTTTCAATTTCATTTAGTTCTGTTCTGATCTTGGTGATTTCCTTTCTTCTGCTGGGTTTGGGTTTAGTTTGTTCTTGCTTCTCTAGTTCCTTGAGGTGTGACTTTAGATTATCTGTTTGTGTTCTTCTAGCCTTTTTGATGTAGGCATATTACATATTCTTTCATGCTATCAATACACTGTATAGATACAGCTATGATTTGAGCAGTGCAATTAGTGTCTCAGTACCACTTGAAGAAGCTGTTTTATGCAGAGATAAAATGGAAGAATGGTCAGCCTCTTAATTTAGCTTATTTGAAAAGGCACTGGAAAAAATATGGCAGACTTCAACAACGTGTGCCAAAACTTTTTCTCTTGGAAATCATTGACTAGTATCGCTGAATGTTATTTCTTGTGGAGAACTACTGACAGATATGTGCAACAGAAATGGTTAAAAGCAGCAGAAACTGAGAATAAACTGAAACAAGTATATATCCCAATTCACAGCAAACCAAGTCCCAACCAAATATCTACCAGCAATGGCAAGCCTGGTGCTGTGAGTGGAACCATGAGGACCACGTTCCTGCCTCAGAATCCCCTTGTAGTGTAAGCCTGGGAGGACTGCTGTGCTACATAGTCTAACCAGTAGTATTCTAGCAGCCCACCCAATATGCATTTGATGTAGGTATTTAGGGCTATGAACTTTCCTGTTAGCACTGCCTTTGCTGTATTCCAGAGGTTTTGATAGGTTTTGTTGCTATTGTCATTCAGTTAGAAGAATTTTTAAATTTTCATCTTGATTTCATTTTTGACCCAATGATCATTCAGGAGCAGGTTAATTTCCATGTATTTGCAAGGTTTTGAAGGTTCCTTTTGGAGTTGATTTCCAGTTGTATTCCACTGTGGTCTGAGAGGGTACTTGATATAATTTCAATTTTCTTACATTTATTGAGGCTCGTTTTGTGGCCTATCATATGGTCTTTTGGAGAAAGTTCCATTTACTGTTGAATAGAATGTATATTCTGTGGTTGTCGGGTAGAATGTTCTGTGTATATCTGTTAAGTCCATTTGTTCCAGGGTACTGTTTAAATTTATTGTTTTTTGTTGACTTTCTGTCTTCATGACCTGTCTAGTGCTATTAGTGGAGTATTAAAGGCCCCCACTATTATTGTGTTTCTGTCTACCTTATTTCTTATGTCTATTAATAATTGTTTTACAAATTTGGGAACTCCAGTTTTAGGTGCATATATATTTAGGATTGTGATATTTTCCCATTGGACAAGACCTTTTATCACTATATAATGACTCTCTTTGTTTTTTCAACCGCTATTGCTTTAACATTTGTTTTGTCTGATATAAGAATAGCATCCCCTGCTTACTTTTGGTATCCATTTGCATGCAATGTCTTTTTCCATTCCTTTCCTTAAGTTTATATGAGTCCTTTTGTGTTAGGTGTGTCTCTTGAAGGCAGCAGATAGTTGGTTGGTGAATTCTTATCCATTCTGCAATTCTGTATCTTTTCAGTGGAGCATTTAGGGCATTTACATTGAATGTTTTACTGAGATGTGAGGTATCATTTCATTCATCATGCTATTTGTTTCCTGTATATCTTGGGTTTTTTTTTTTTTTAATTGTATTTTTGTCTTGTAGGTCTTGTGAGATTCATGCTTTAAAGAGGTTCTGTTTTGATGTGTTGCCAGGATTTGTTTCAAAATTTAGAGCTCTTTTTAGCAGTTCTTGTAGTGCTGGCTTGGTAGTAGTGAATTCTCTCACCATTTGTTTGTCTGAAAAAGACTGTATTTTTCCTTAATTTACAAGGCTTTGTTTCACTGGGTACAGAATTCTTCACTGATAATCGTTTGTTTGTGAAGGCTGAAGATAGGGCCCCAATCCCTTCTAGCTTGTAGAGTTTCTCTGAGAAATATGTTATTGATCTGACAGATTTTCCTTTATAGGTTACCTGATGTTTTTGCCTCACAGTTTTTAATATTTTTTCCTTCATCTTAACTTCAGATAACTTGATGATAATGTGCCTAGGCAATGATCTTTTTTGTGACGAATTTCCCAGATGTTCTTTGAGCTTCTTGTATTTAGATGTCTAGTTCTCTAGCAAGATCAGAAAAGTTTTCCTTGATTTTTCCCCCAAATATACTTTCCAAACTTTCAGATTTCCCTTCTTCCTCAGGAACACTGATTATTCTTAGATTTGGTTGTTTAACATAATCCCAGACTTCTTTTTTTTTTTTTTTTTTTTGAGGCAGAGTCTTGCTCTGTCACCCAGGCTGGAGTGCAGTGACCCAATCTCTACTCACTGCAAGCCCTGCCTCCTGGGTTCATGCCATTCTCCTGCCTCAGCCTCCCAAGTAGCTGGGATTACAGGCGCCCACCACCACACCGGCTAATTTTTTTGTAATTTTAATAGAGATGGGGTTTCACCATGTTGGCCAGGATGGTCTTGATCTTCTGACCTCGTGATCCTCCCACCTCGGCCTCCCGAAGTGCTGGGATTACAGGCATGAGCCACCATGCCCAGCTAATCCCAGACTTCTTGGAGGCTTTGTTCATATTTTCTTATTCTTTTTTCTTTGTCTTTGCTGGGTTGGGTTAATTTGAAAACCTTGTCTTTAAGCTCTGAAGTTCTTTATTCTGCTTGTTCGATTCTATTGCTGAGAGTTTCCAGAGCATTTTGCATTTGCATAGTGTGTTCATTGTTTCCTGAAGTTTTGATTGTTTTTAATTTATGCTATCTTTTTCATTGAGTATTTCTCCCTGCACTTATATCATTTTTTGGATTTCCTTACATTGGGCTTCACCTTTCTCTGGTGCCTCCCTGATTAACTTAATAACTAACCTTCTGAATTCTTTTTCAGGTAGATCAGGGATTTTTTTTCTTGGTTTGGATCCATTGCTGGAAAGCTAGTATGATTTTTGGGGGGTGTTAAAAAAACTTTTTTATATTACAAGAGTTGGTTTTCTGGTTCCTTCTCATTTGGGTAGCTTCTGTCAGCAGGAACATCTCAGGCTCAAGACTGTTGTTCAGTTCCTTTTGTCCACGGGGTGGTTTCTTGTAGTACTGTCACCCTTTTCCTAGGGATGTGGCTTCCTGAGAGCTGAGCTATAGTGCTTGTTATCTCTTCTAGCCATCTAGCAAGTCTATCAGGCTCTGGGCTAGTAGTGGGGGTTGTCTGCACAGAGTCCTATGATGTGAACAATCTGTGGGTTTCTCAGCCATGGATACTGGCATCTGCTCTGGTGGAAGTAGTAGGGGTATCAAATGGACCCTGTGAGGGTCCTTAGCTTCGGTTGATTATTGCACTATTTTTGTATTGGTTGGCCTCCTGCTGGGAGGTGGTGCTTTCAAGAGAGCATCAGCTGTGGTAGTATGTGGAGGAACAGGTGGTGGGAGAGGCCTTAGAACTCCCAAGAGGTTTTGTCCTTTGTCTTCAGTTACCAGGGTGGGTAGGGAACAACCATTAGGTGGGGGCAAGACTAGGTGTGTCTGAGCTCAGACTCTACTTGGGCGAGTCTTGTTGCGGCTCCTGTTGGGGGTGGGGGTGAGGTTCCTAGGTCAATGGAGTTTTGTTCCCAGGAGGATTATGGCTGCCTCTGCTGTGTCATGCTGGTTGTCAGGGAAGTGCGGGAAAGCTGTCAGTCACAGGCCTCACCTAGCTCCCACCCAACCCAAAGGGCCAATCTCACTTCCACCATGCCCCCACCCCCAACAGCAACAAGTCAGTTTTCAGTCAGTGGGCCAGCAGGACTGAGAACTTGCCCCAGGCTACCCACCTCCCAGCTGTGAAAATAACTAGGGCTTTCCTTCCTCTCCCACCTGTGGAGTCTGCACACCAGATTCACACCCTACCCCAGGTTCTGGCCAGGAGGCTTCTCAATTTGTTCAAATTGTTACAAAGTTCAGCTGGAGCTTTTCTTCTCCCTGTGGCCTTTTCCCAGTGACTCTGGTAGCTCTCCTCAAGGACCCCTGTGAGGTGAGGCAGAAATGGCTTGCTAAGGGACCCAGCAAGCCCACAGAGATTTTCCTGCTACTTCCTCTACTCCTGTATTTCGCTTAGCTCTCTAAATTGACTCAGCTCCAGGTAAGGTCAGAATCTTCTACCATAATCTAGACCTTCAGGTTCCCCTGTGGGGATGAGTGTTCATGGATGAACAATCTTCCTTTCCCACTTCCACAGTTTGGGCACTCACAGTATTTGGGGTGTCTCTGGAGTCTTGCAGGAACAACCCACTTCCTTCAGAAGATATATGGGTTCTCTTGACTTTCCGAATATATTTCTGCAGTCATACTGCAGCAAAAGTTCACAGTGCAAGCCTCCACAGGCTGTTCTGTCCATTCAAGTGGGAGCTTCAATCTAGTCCTGCCTCCTGTCTGCCATGATCTCATCTCTCCCTCTTTTTCGAAGTCCACTAATTCCAGGATGAGGGCCCAAGCTCATGACCTAACCTAACCCTATTTACTTTACTCTAACCCCTTCTTTAAGTATCATCACATTGAGAGCTAGGGCTTCATCATGTGGATTTAGAGACAGTGAGGGGGAACATTCAGTCAAAAACACCTTATAATCTTTTTTGTTTTGTAAGGTTATTAATAATGTCCCATTTTTCATTTCTGATGTTACTAATTTTAGTCTGTTTTTCTTTCCTTTTCTTTTCTTCTCTCTCTCTCTCTCTCTTCCTTCCTTCCTTCCTTTCTTTCTTTGAGACAGAGTCTTGCTCTGTCACCCAGGCTGGAGTGCAGTGGTGCAATCTTGGTTCACTGCAACCTTGCCTCCTGGGTTCAAGTGATTCTCCTGGCTCAGCCTCCCAAGTAGCTAGGAT